TGGCCAAGGGCCGCCCTTCGGCGGCAGCCAGCGCCGGTCGGGGGGAAGACGGAGGGTAGGGTCGGCGGGGCCTGCTGGGCTGCGGGCAGCCGAGGTGCCGGGGTAAGGGGCACCAGAAATAATTGTACCGGAGCGTGCCGGAGGGTACGTTCCTCGCCTGTTGCTGCATTTCTTCCGAAACCGCAAACGAGCTCCAGCAATAAACCAAGCACCCAAGGAGCAAGCAGTACACTTGACTGTCACAGAAGGGGTGGTGGAAGTCCTGTGCTCTGAAGATTGATGGAGCTGTAAGACTGATACATTTAACGGTAGGATCACGTTAGGACAGTGCAGTTAGAGCCAGAAGGCACGTGAGCAGTTACAGGACACTAAGCTACCTTTTCCGTCTTTTTACATACTTGAGGCTCTGTCCAGACATCTAATTGCCACTAACGGTGCAAGGCACTGATTGTTTCTTTACCACTGATACGTCAATGAATGTCAAACCCAAATACAGTCACAGAGCCAGCCTGCAGAGAAAAAACAACAGTTAACCGATGCCTTTCCTTTCTGTGTTACTTAGCGTTTGCTTGTACCAAATACAGTGCAAGCTCTTTGGCAATTACAGAGAAAAAACTCAGTTTAAACCTTTGTGCAGTAAGCATTGCTGATAAAATTGTGTCTCAGCCTGTAACGACACCCCTGCAACAAACTGATTTATGCCAGAAGTGTATCCTTGCAATCTAAAGAAAAGTTTGTTTCCAAAATATTTTCTCCAAGTTTCCTACTACAAATATTAAGTACAAGTCTGAAATGAAGTACATTTTGGAGAATTACCTAGCGAACTAAACCCACCTACTTCCACAGTTAAACTTCCCAAAGCACACAAGTATTTGTATACACATGTGAGAGATCTAGAGAACCTTGGAAAGGTAGTATATAGTACCTGACATTTAACTTCTGATGGGATAGAGTTCCCCTCTTAAGTCTGCAGTTCAGAAATGTGCTTATCATTGATTAGCTGTGGCAAAGCAACAAAATACAAGAAACGGCCTTGCTGGGCCATTTCACACCTCTGGATCTTGCCACTGCTGCATCTCAGAACAGCTACAGCAATACTTCATGTAAGGTTTTTCTATCTAGAAGCCAAAGAGAACGATCACATCTTTGGGAATGCACCCACATTTCCAGCCATTTTCTGATCAACTCCTGCACCACACTTAGAATGAAACACCTTCAATTTTTGTAGGCAAAGAAAATCTTCAAAGAGAGTTTAGACCAGTGGCATTTAAACTAAATTTCCTTCAGATTTTCACTGAGAGAAGTCAAAAGACTGGACCCCTAATCAAAACTCTGTGCTGGAAATACCCTCATAAAAGGAGGACGGGTGTTGAAGTTACATAAACCACAACACATTTTCATATAAAAATCTGTATTTGTGCACTGCTAGAGAAGGCACAGGATTTCCATGTCGCAATTTGGTTAATTTATTCAAGCTTTGATCAACTGAAAGAACAGACTTCATAATTACAAACAGTGGTACCTCTTTTTATTAGTACAGACAATATAAGATGCATAGCTTCTGCAATGAAAAGTCATGTCCATGCTCTAAGACATCAGATTAATGAAACGTCCTCAATGTCTGCCTTGGACAGAGGGGCAAACTTCACAGTGTAAACTGATAATATAAGGATGATCATATGGCATTATTCATAAAACTCCCTGTTGATATTGTCAGACAAAAATCAGCAACAATTAAATAGGATGTGTTAAACTGCAGAACAGTTTCAAGTATTCAAGTACTTTTTTTTTTTGGTTGTTTAAAACCGTCTGCTTCCCCTGCTCCCCCACTCCTTCCCAAAGAGGCACCAGCTACATGGGTGAAGCTAAAGAATGCTTTTTTTGCAAGACACCTGAAGTTCTTCTAATGCAGAAATGCCTTCCCAGAAGCAAGACTGATTTTTCTTATTGCAATAGACAGTAGCAGGAATAATTTTACCTCTGTGAACATTACAAATACATATTTTTTTAAAAAGTAATAAGTTATTACAAGAGAAGTTGAAGAAAGTTTTACGTTACTTGTGGGAATAGGCAATGAAAGAAGACGACAGTCTCACCATTGCATAATTGTCCTCTGACAAACGTGGGAGAATGCACCTAAACCATTTTGTTCTTAGGCAGTCGGACTGCCAGAGGGCAGCTCCTGCACATTAATCCTAGTTAGAAAGAGACCTTATGAACTCTCCGATGAAATTCCGTTTCATGTATTTCAGCAGTTTAGCAGCAATCAGGTATTGACATTGTCTACAAAGTCTACAAAGTGTCTGAGGCAGTCACCAGTTCAAACCACTGTCTGAGTGCATCACTAAGAGTTTCTGGAAGCGCATTCACATCTCTGAGGATCATGTAGAATGGGAATGGGAATTCTTCCATGTAAGATCTAATTTCAGGCAATTCTCCAGGTCCTTTGAATATAGGTACTTTAATGTCCAAAATGGAATCCTGTAAAAAAGAATTTATGTTACTACAAAACTACATCCATCTTTCTACAGGCCTTTAATATAGTTTATCCTATTTTTCAAATACTTATAATTTCTCCTCTGTTAGATTAAAAGTTAATAAAAGAGTTTTCATATTAAAAGCCGTAAGTCTTCAATGGTAAATCAAATCAAAAGCTGAACACAATGCAATTAAATACTTTTGCCCTTTTGAAGTGCTCTAATCAACAAACTATAGGCTAGAAGAGACTAAGTTTAAGCTTCTGCAATACCAAATTCCATAAATAAATCCTGTCTTTCCTTAGTAGTTTATAATTTGAGTTTACGGCTATCACTTCAGTTTTACACATTTGATGCCTTCCTGACACTGTCATCTGTAAGCTCTTTAGGGCTGAGTTGAGTTCAACTTGCATTTGTGCAGTGATCTAATACAACAAGATTCTTTAGCAAATTATTTTACATTTCAACAAACACTACGAAGACAGCTGTAAGCTGTACTTCTTGTAAAGTAACTTCTTAGTTGCTCAGTGAAGCAGCTCAGAAAATTAATAAAGCTTGTGAAAAACACATTTCACTGACCAGAATTTTTGCTTGACCTTATAGCCAGGTTTCATCAAAATCTTATTATACTTTGTCAGCAAGAGAATTGTTCATTTTTCAACAATAAATATAGCAGGTGAGTCTTGCATGGAAAAACAGATACAGGAAGAAAATGTGAACTACAAAATTAGAGCCTTCACCACATAATTTAAAGTAAGGCTTAAGTTTGCTCACTTATTGCACTAGAGCATCCCTGAAAAGCTCCCAGATATTTCAGCTTCCCAACCAAGGAAATCTAAGAGTTTTCTTTCCCAGTTACCAAATGCAGTACCAGCATTCCCAATTCAGGCACTAAATAACTCTTATATATTCCTTTCTGTCTAATGTTTAATCTCATATTGGCTCCAGCTGCCGTATCAAATGGACACTGCTGTCAGAAATGATAAATCTGAATTAAAAGTGAGAGGGAACAAAGCATCTCTCAAACTCTGAACTTGTCTACCTGCCAGCTACTTCTCTGGTGGCGAAAATCTACAACCATTACATTTGACAACAGGAGCTCTTACTTAGCCTTTCTGTGGCATGGAAGGCAATTTTTTTTTTTTTAAATACAAAAGAAGATAAGAATCACAGTAGGGAGAAATCATAGAAGATCTGACATGTGAAAAAAATGAAACTGGGCTAAATATCTTTGAACTCTACAAAAGATAAGATAGCTGTATAACTTTGCAAGAAACAAGAAAAAGATTTGTATCAGTTTCTCATTCACTGCAGTTGAATACTTCTCCCTTGTTCGCTCACTTACCCGGGAATTAGGATTGTCCAACACTACGAAAATAACAAAGATATTGGCATTCTGAGCTGTTTGAACTGCTGCTGTCACTCGTTCCTTGCCTTCCAAGAAAAGGCCTCTTCCATCAGATACAATCAAAAGCAGCTGTGCTGTTTCTGAGCACAAAGAACATTTAAAATTCCAGTAAGTTAGAGTAATCCATTTAAAAGGCAAAAAAAGACTATTTTGTTGTTAGCTCTGTGGGTATAATGGAAAAACAACTACTCCTAAGGAAATAAAGTCTTTATCAAATAGAATTCTGTGACTTAACATTAAGCTGCAGTTACGAGTGGGTCAAGAAAGAAAGTTTTTCCCACTGTGTGAAACCATTGAGAATAACTGGGGGACAAAAAAACCCAGTCCATCAATACCATAATCAAGGATGAAAGGCATGGAAAATACCTAAACAAACTTAGTCACGGCCTTTTCTTTCATGCCTGGTAAGTGCCTAGGAGTTAGACATTGGCTGAATTCTAAGAGTCCAGCCACTAGATCACTACTTCAGTAGAGAAGCAGCTGCTGCAATGAAAAAGAGTCCAGATCTGTTCCTCCAGAAGCAGGTACCTATGGGTGCATCTGTATTAGTGTGTCACCTTGGACTAAGACTGTGCTTTTGAAACATGTTTCCCTGTTGTCCCCACTTTAACAGGCTTGGCTTCCATCAGAGAGCAGTCTTAGACTACACAAAATGGATTATTTTTGGAGGAAACTAAACCAGAAGATAGGTTCCAGAGGCACAGTCAAGGCAGTCCAACCACTACAGGGCATTCAGCCCTTGGGACCCTGCAAGCTAGTCTGAAGTAAACCTCCTGAAACACACACAGGACAGGTGCTGGGTTACTCAGCACCGATCATTCTCTGCAGACATGTTGCTTGACCCAAGCTGCCACCCCAAGTCAGAGACATATCCCTCCAAAGGGAAATTCTAAGTTATGTATCTATCATCTTTTAATTATAAGGAAATAACAGTAACAATTGGGAATGCAAGCCCCTCCCTCTCTCCTGTCCGCCTCCCCGCCCCCCCCCCCCCCCAAAGCGGCCC